GAGCTGTTGTTCAGCATGTTAGCTGTAGAGGGCAGTGTCACTGGCCCTCATATGTGGGATCCGAACCGGGGCCCTCTGGCATCCCAAGCCAGTTCTTAACTAACGCGCCACTTGGTCGGCCCAATATTTTTTGAAAGTATCATTTTTAAATAAATAATCTGGAGATCTGCCTTCATATCATTGAATCATTTAAGATATTAATTAAATACAAATTATAGACTCTGCATATTACAACGGCCTTTGTATATAAAGCTATCACCATAGCATTAGAGAAGTAAAAGAAGTGTACCTAAATGCTTAGGCTTCACTAAAATGTGTTTTTTCCCATTTTATAGGATCTTAAATGTGTTTCGGCACTGGGTTGAACACCATTTTTATGACTTTGAAAGAGATTTGGAGTTGCTTGAAAGACTAGAATCCTTCATTTCAAGTGTAAGAGGTATATTATTTAAAGGTTTGATTGAATTTTGTCGCACATGAGCTTATTTTTAAATTTGTATGACTTTTAATTTGAGAAGCTAAACTGTTTTTCGTTTTTAAATAATTGGAACAACATTTGGAATGATTTTTTAGACTTTAAGGAGCACACATATATTTTAGAGCTACCTGAAGTCTTAGAACCTTGCCTTTTCAAGTTTTTTAAGGAAAATCTTTCTTGTAAACAAATCAAAAGTCCTCTTTAGTAAAGTTAAGTCTTTTAATTTTATGTCAAGGTTGCCATTCCTTCAACTAATTTAATATTTATATAATTTTACCTTTTTCCTTTTTCTCCTTAATCTTATTCTTTAGTTTTGAATGATTAACCACTTTTTAAATAATGTTTACTTCCCCTGGAAAAGTTTTTGGTGTATTTTTGGCACCTAAAAGATAGGAATTTCCTACCTGAACTTTTGGAATACAGCCCATGAAATAAAACTCTAGGCCATGAATATTTAAACAAATGTTTATGTCATCAAATGTATATTATTGAATCAAGAACATTTATGTTTTATCTACTATTCTGAGGCATTAATTAAGAATACTGTAAGCCTAGCTTATTTCAGCTTCTAGTTTTCCTTTAAGGGGAATTTTACTTAAAATAGAGAATGTGATTCCTTTGTTTCAATTTTGAGATGTTTAAGATGCTTGTTATTCATGTATGCCTTAAAATTGTTTATAGTACTAATTTTTAACTAATCTTATTGAGGACACTAGGTTATATGTGATCTAAGACACTACTGAAATACACAGACATATTAGAATAAAGCAAATAGTTACATTAATGTCTATAGTTAATGGCTCAAGGCCTTTCTAATACACATTATACCTTAGGATAACCAAATATTGATGTGTGAAAGTTTCTTTGTATAGAAGTATTGCAACTAAGTGAAGAAGGAGTGATAGAATTAGAACCACTTCTCAACCCCTAGTAACATCACAAAAACAGAAGTAACTGGCTATCATATGCCTTCTGTTAGAAATATTCTTGCAAGTATTCGTGTCAAAAAATTGATCCTGAATCAAATCAAGTCTCTATGTGTCTGATTTACAAAAAATACATGGACAACGAAATATGGCAGTTGTCACTACAGGGATGCAATTGGCAAGATTCAGACTTGGGAAACACCACAGAGCAAATGATTCAGTTTCAAAAAATAAATTGCAATCAAATTGAGAGATAAAGGGGGGAACCTGTAGATTGAAGGAGACTTGAGACATACTGACTGAGTGCAATGTGTAGATCTTATTCCAATCCTATTTCAAACTATAAGAAAACATTGATCAGGGAGATTTGAACACTAACTACATATTTGATGATATTAAGAAGTTATTGTCATTTTTTATGCGTGATAATGGTTATTGTTATTTTTTAAAGTCTTTAATTTTTAGATACATACTTAAATATAAACGAAATGATATCACTTTTTAGATTTGTTTTGAAATAACATAGGGATTGGAGGGAGGGCATAGGTGGGGTTAGATGAAACAAAAAAGATGCTGAGTGGATCATTGTTGAAACTGGATGATGGTTAAAAATTGTGTGAAGTTTTGCAGTTATGTCTTTCAAATAAAAGGCATTTTTGTTTGTTTTTTTCTAGGGAAAGCCATGAAGAAATGGGTAGAGTCAATTGCTAAGATCATCAAGAGGAAGAAACAAGCTCAGGCAAATGGAATAAGCCATAATATTACTTTTGAAAGTCCACCTCCACCTATTGAATGGCATATCAGCAGACCAGGACAATTTGAAACATTTGATCTCATGACCCTTCATCCAATAGAAATTGCACGTCAGCTGACACTTTTGGAATCTGATCTCTACAGGTAGAAAATTAACATTAATTTGAAGCTGTTTTCAAGAACCTTGAACATAACCTCTCTTTTCAGAACTTAGCAAATTCATGAGTGCTTAAAAACACCTCATCTATTCTGTGGGCATGGTGGAAAGTTCATAGCATAGTTTTTAACTACAGTCTGTTCTTCAGGTAAAAGTCTTAAAACATACTGCTATTTAGGCGTAGATTTGGTACTAGAAATCCTTCACAGGAGCAGTGGCAGAGAGAAGACTGATGAATGGAACAGCAGCCACTTTCAAGGCAGTCACCGAGCTCCTACTCCTAATATGTTTCTCAGATTTCTTTATTTGAGTTGTTTCAGCTAAGTCAGTCAGTATGGATGCTAGGCTCTTGGCAGCTAAGTAAGGAGAATATCAAGTGAGACAAGCTTTCTTCTTTTTTTTTTTTTAAGATTCTACATAATCAAAATTTTATTTAAGGGCTTGACTGGATTAGGTTTGTTAAGCAAATGAATAACAAAATTCTTATGGGAATAAAGATTTTTTAACTTCTTATAAGGAGCCTCAAATATTTCAGCTCTTTGAAGTCAATATTAACTTTAAAGAAAAGTTATTTCTGAAATAGTGTGATGATGAATCAACCATGCTTAAAACTTCTGAATCATTTTCTTTCATTTATAAGGATCACTAGAAATGTGCTTGGCTATTTATTTTAACCTGTATCCCATCATCTGTCTTTATATGTAAAGCATTCCTGCCATTGCCCTATATCCACACAGATCACCCATTCACAGCCTAACGTTTTAGTTTCATGGCTTCATCACTACCAGTGTCATTGTCTCCTCCAAATCAGACACCTCCCATGGTCATATTCTGAATCTTGTCATCACCCCAAATCATTCTTATTCCAAAATTACAAACACAAGCATCTCATTCCTTCCTAACTAGTCTGCTCTCCTTTCAGCTTGCTTTATCAACTTTTTTCTCTATCATTTATTTTTAAACCACTATTTTTTCCCAGTGCATTAGCCCCTTTCTGTCCTTTCCTCCCTTCTAATTTAAGCTTTTGTTTTTCATTTACAACCCAGGATCCTGTGAAGGATATAGGCCTTGCTGGTAATAACCCCACCCCCCCCCATCAAAAAATAACCACCCACCTCTGTCATTCCATCAAAACCTTTTCTGCACTCAGGCGCCCCTTTTAAAATACAAATGCTTTTAAGAAGTTATCCTGGTTAACAGCCTTTTTTTTTTTTTTTTTACAGAGATTACACAGAGAAAAGTAAGAATATATAAAGTTTAGCATTAATGGAGAATGTAGGAAGGCACTAGACATAAAACTTTGCCTTCTTTATAATTGGCCCTTTGGTTTGCCCTGACTGTGCTGTTCAGAATTTATCACACATGTCAGAGGTTGTCAGCATCCGATTCAGAATGTCATTTTATATTTTAAGTAATTTGGAGTTTAGGTAGTTTTCATTTTATGTTGTGGGATTTGTGATATGTAGGAATGAAAGGACTTGTTACTTGAGATAACAAAGCAAATAATACTGAATCAAGTTTTTCTTTATAGAGTGACCGTTATATGAATGGACATCAGAAAAATATAAAAAGGACTTAGCTTTATGTGGATCTGCTTTCAAAACATATTGGGTCTTTGGAAAAGTCATGATGCATGTTTGCAACAGATGGCACTAGTTCATTTTTGGAAGTACTTGAGTCATTCACATCTATGTTATTGCTATATCATTTGACAGCTGACAGTTCTAGTTTCATTCTAAAAAAAATTGAGCGATTTGGTTGAGTTTTGCAGATTTTACAACAAGTTTAAGATGGCAGACCAAACTGCATTTTTGCCATATTTTACTGTTTTACTTCCATAAAGGGAAGAATGTGCGTCAAGCTTGTGAAAAGTTGAATAAAGTTTATGGTGACAATGCTCTACAATAACGTCAGTGCCAACAATGGTTCATGAAATTCCTTGCTGGTGATTTTGATCTCAGCGACGCTCCTCGCGGTCAGGGAGGTCCACCGAGGTTGATGACAACAAAATAAAGGCATTGATTGAGTCAAACTCATGTTACATGACACGAGAGATTGCAGAAACATTGAACATCATCATTCAAACATTCACAACCACCTGAAGAAGCTGGGATACATAAGCAAGCTCGATATTTGGCTTCTGCATGAACTCAAAGTTCATTTGACGGCGCATATAAACATCTGCAATATGCTCATTAAACGTGAGGAAAACGATCCTTTTTTGAAGTGACTGATAACTGGTGATGAGAAGTGGATTGTTGACAACAATGTGGTGTGCCAACGGTCTTGGTTCCGACATGATGATTCGCCTCAAACGACATTGAAAGCAGACATTCATCAGAGGAAGGTTATGCTCTCAATGTGGTGGGATTTTAAAGGTGTTGTGTATTTCGAGCTCCTACTAAGGAACCAAACAATCAATTCGAATGTGTATTGTCGGCCGTTGGACAGTTTGAACGAATTCATCATCCAGAAACGTCCAGAGCTCGTTAATTGTAAAGGAGATGTGTTCCATCGTGACAACATGAGACCACACACAAGTTTGATCACCCATCAAAAATTATTGGAGCTTGGATGGGATATGCTGCCACACCCACCATACTTGCCTGACCTTACACTGTCAGACTTCCACTTGTTTCGCAGTCTTCAAAACTCCTTGCGTGGTATAAAGTTCAATTCAGATGAGGCTGTAAATCAGCACCTTGTTCAGTTTTTCGCAAATAAAGACAAGTCCTTCTATAAACGAGGAATTATGAAGCTCACTGAAAGATGGCAAAAGGTTATCGAACAAAATGGGCAATATATCATTAATTGATCTTTGTTCTCTATATAAGTAAATGACCTTTGAAAAACATAGACAAAATACGTCATGACTATTCCGAAGACCCAATAGCATAAGTGATATGTATATTATGGAAGACGTGTAACATACATAAAACATTGACACTGTAAACTAAATTTCTGGTGAAGTATTAGAACCAATTTAAGAAAACTAATTTCAAAAACTGTTAGCAGGCACCCATTTGTATTCAAATTTACTGACTAAATTTTTTTTTAAAAACATTAAAAAAAAAATTAATAGCCAAGTCTGTAGGATGGCAATGCCCTGGTCAATTTTTTAAATGATCTAGTCCTGACTCCCATATACAATGATTTAATTGGCTCTTTTGTTTGGCTTTTTATTAAATATTTCAACTATTTCAAAAAATGTTAAGAAATAATATAGTGAGGGCTCATGAACCACGAAAGTATTACAGATAAAATTGAAATCCTTTGTGTATTTTTCCCCAATCCCATTTTTCTTTTTTTCTCCCAAGGAATAACCACTATCCTATATTTGCTGTTACTATTCCTATGTATGCCTTTATAATTTATACACATGCAAACATTCATAAGTAATATATAGCATTGTTTTGTACATTTTAAAACTGCTTATACTTATGTATCATTCTGCAACTTGTTTTTTACTTAAATTGTTTCTGGCATTTGTTCAAGTTGATGAATATGGCTCTAGTTTCCTTATTTTAATTGCGTGTGGTATTGAATTGTATGAGCACTCCATAATTTATCCAGTTTCTTGATGATGAGTCTCAAGGTTGTGTAAGATGCTTCACTGAACATTCCTATAAATTTTTTCTTATAACCTGTTGTATCTAGAATATATATCTAGGAATAGAATTGCTGAGTGATCTAATAGGTATATCTTCAGTATTGTGAGATATTGACAAATTGCTTTACAAAGTGTTTGTATCAGTTTTTACTTGCACATCAGTGTTGGTTAGTTATTGTTTTTTCTCATTTTTACCCATTTAGTATTAGACTCATTAAACTGATAGGAATAAACTGGGATTTCATTGTGGTTTAATGTTCTTTTCCGTTAGTAAAAAATAAAGTATTTTTTAATATTCGTGGCTAGTTCAGTCTATTCCTTTGTGAATTACCTCTTATGTTTGTCCATTTATCTTTTGGGTTGTCTTTTTTTTTCTTAAGTTTTAGGAGACCTTTAAATAATTTTGATACAAATCCTTTATAGGTTAAGTTGCATTGATTTTTTTGGTTCCACAGGAAAGTTCAACCTTCTGAACTTGTAGGGAGTGTATGGACCAAAGAAGATAAAGAAATAAATTCTCCCAATTTATTAAAAATGATTCGCCACACCACAAATCTGACTCTCTGGTTTGAAAAGTAAGTTTTTACTTATTCTGTCTTATTCTTAATAATCATAATATTAAGTCATATATATAAGGTAAAATCCTGGCTAAATATGTTTCTTTTGTACATGAGGTGAGGAAATTGCTTTCTAAGCCATGAATTTCTTTATTTTTTCTTTTTTTTGGGTAGGTGCATTGTGGAAGCAGAAAATTTTGAGGAACGGGTTGCAGTACTAAGTAGAATTATAGAAATTCTGCAAGTTTTTCAAGATTTGAATAATTTCAATGGTGTATTGGAGATAGTCAGTGCAGTAAATTCAGTGTCAGTATACAGACTAGACCACACCTTTGAGGTAAGTTTTAGGCTTAAATATTTCATCATTTTATGGGAGGAGATAAAGTTAATGTAAAAAGATTCCTTCTACCACCAATCTTTTTGAGTGAATCCATCTTATTCCCTTAACCCTCTGTTGGGTGCAACTGATCTCACAGATTCATTGCACACAAATTTTCAAGTATCTAACAGTTAAGTGTCGGGACTCATTGCTTCTGTATCTTCCCTTTCTACCATAACCTGTCACCAGTTGTGTTTGTGACTTAGTATAGTAAAGATGTATTTCACAGCGGCATCTTTGTGTACAATGAATCTGTGAGATCAGTTGCGCCCGATGGAGGGTTAAATGCAGTGATACCAAGATATTAGAGAATATATCAGCATATACTAGTAAGCCTAGGCTTCATAAAAGAATATGGGACTTGTGACTTTGTTTAATATACTTACCTAAAATATAATGAAGCTCCAAATTAATTTTTTCAATGGCACATTGATTGATAGTTTCAAATAAATGACAAAGGATTTTAAATATAAGTATATAAATTACTCTAATAACCTTTAGTATATAGTCAAAAAAGAGTAACATGGAGAGAACCCTTTCTAAAAATTAAATTGATTTTTTTAATTATAAAGTAGTATATGTTTAGTGTTTTATTATAGAAAGTTCAGAAAAGTATAGAAGGATATTCCATATATATTTTTAATAATAAAATTGAGATCACATTGTACATAGATTTTTTTTGGCCTGTACCTTTTTATCATAAACATTGTTTTATTAGTTTATTTTTAAAACAAATTTTTAATGTCTGTGTGGTTTTTCTGTCCCATAGACAAACCATAATTTATTTCATACTCTATTGTGAGACAGTTAAGTTATTTGTGATTTTTTTCTGTGATAAATAATTTAACATGGAACATCCACGGATTGTGTGTGTGTGCGCGCGTGTGTGTGTGTGCATGTGTGTGTGTGTGTACTTATCAGGTTAAAATAATGTAATTACTTTGTAATAATGAAATATAAAAGAAATGACTGCATACTTGACTTTCTAAATTTTAAGTTCTTCTCTCGCTCTCACAGCCTTCTTCTTACTAAAATAGTACCTTAGTCCCAAAAGATCTTTCAGTGGAAAAATATTTGAACACTAAGGGATTATATTTCTCTGCTAAAGCTATAACTTGAAACTCTGGGTTAATCAGAATTATAACTAATAAGGTTCTGAGGAAGAATTTCTTTATTGTGTAATTCTCTATATTAGAAAAAATAAGTTTTTAAGTTTTATATTTATAGATATGAGAAGAGAAATCATTTCAGGCAAGCACAGAAAGGAATACTATGTATGTCTTAATTTTAAAATTTGTTTTTTCAAATATTTGCAAATTATATAAAATTCAAAGTTCTGCATCCATAAAATATGATTGAATTGTAAAAAACAAATTATACTCAATTTATATATTTGAAAGGCTTTACAGGAAAGGAAAAGGAGAATTTTGGATGAAGCTGTGGAATTAAGTCAAGATCACTTTAAAAAATACCTAGTGAAGCTTAAGTCAATCAATCCACCTTGTGTGCCTTTTTTTGGTAAGTTACTAAATATGGGTTTATATTTTAGGGGAGAGTGTGCTATAGCCAAGAGACCATCCTTTAGAGGCAGCTTGTCCTGATTTTATATCTGAGGCATCTACTTTTATTAGCTGTCTGTATTGATAAATAAAACTTAAACTCTCTATTTCCTTATCTATAAAATGAAGATTATGATAATTACTTCATGGATTTGTAAGGAGCTCTGTGGGGTGTCTTCTGTAAGAGCACATATCCCATTCATGAGGGCTCCACCCTCATGACTTAAGCACCTCCCAATACCATCACATTGGGCATTAGGATTTCCACATATGAATTTTGAACATTCAAACCACAGTATGCACGTGTACACACACACCCCCCCACGCACACACACCCGGTTGTGATAAACAAAAATGTCTCCGAACATTTTCACATATCCCCTGGGGGACAAAATTGCCCCCAGTTGAGAGTTACTGATTTAAATGAATCAGTAATTATGCATGAAAAAGAAACTAAAAACTTTATTACTGTCCTGATGTGAGGAATAAGTCTTTTTCTATCTAAATTATGGGCTTGGGAAAACAGAATTAGTTTATAAATCTGTAGTCTATAATTAACCAGAATTGGCTTAAAATTAATTTATTGATTAGTAATCATTTAAGATCATTGGCATTATATATTTATAACCAAATATTAATATGGTTAGAGTAGATTTAATACTTACAATTTAGACTTTGTGGATGAATCATTCTTTTTACTTTAGGCTATTAGTCTAAGAAATGCCCAATTAAGCTTTTTCAAAACCCTAATATTCTTTTTTCTTTTAAATTGTTTCCTTGTTAAAAAAATTCTTAATGTAGAAGTAATTAATGAGTCTATCAGAGACTTATCAGCATTTTAGGAGTAGAATTGCTGGATTATAGGATGTCTTTCAACTTTACTAGATTAATTATTTTCCCAGATGGTTAAGTAATCAATTTTATAACTTTTCTTCAAATACTTTTTTTACTAGGAATATATTTAACAAATATTCTGAAGACTGAAGAAGGGAATAATGATTTTTTAAAAAAGAAAGGGAAAGATTTAATCAATTTCAGTAAGAGGAGGAAAGTGGCTGAAATTACTGGAGAAATTCAGCAGTATCAGAATCAACCTTATTGTTTACGGATAGAACCAGAAATGAGGGTAAATATTTTCTTTGCTTATCTTTAAAAGAGAACATGTTAAATTCTCTGCATCTCTAAGCAATATCATAACCACACATTATACTATTATTTTTCTATGAAAATAACAGTTAATCAATAGAAATGGTAAATAGATATTCAGCATTAACAATCTGAAGTTATTGATATTGGGTACTTTGTCTTGGAAGTATTGCTTCTTTGTGTAGCTGGTTCAAGTAACACTTTAAAAAAATGAATGATGAAATGAAGAAGCTTTCTGATGTCCTTGCAGTAAAAAGAAAATCCTCTACCAGCACTATCAATGATAGCCATTTTAGATATTTTACATATGCCAATATAACATTAAGTAATTAATCCCTTCATAGGAACACTGCGTTTAAATAGGGGGAGGGGGTTGTAGAATGGTATGTATGTATTCATAGCAAAAATTATTTTTTTAACTTTCTATTAATTGATGTCCTATTTTGAGCAATAATTCATAATATTGATTCTGTGGTACTATAAGTTGAATACCTTCTAAATTGAATTATGATCTTATGTTTATGTTAAATGAATTTTATTATATTATACTTATTTGAAATTCAAAGCATAATTATTGATCAGAATAAGTTCATGTGTCACATTAAAAATTGTGCTAAACTTTTGGATGTCTGCAGGTTGCATATATTAAATGAAAATGGCAACATCACACCTACCCTCCTAAATTATAAGATAGTAAATGTTCTTTGTTCCTAGTTCAAAACAAAATACTCTAAAGTCCCAAGAAAGAATGACCTAAAGTACACCATTATGAAACTGTAGACAGATACCTGCTCTAAAGACAATGGTGATAAGCTACCCTTTCATTCCTACTCCCTCACCATTGGGCCAACCCTCTGTGATGTGGAGCTTCATAGGACTAAGGAAATATGTTCTTGTGGCCCAGATTAGAGTTCACAGTATATTGCCCCACAAAAATAATGTTACATTGTACTTGATTATACTTGAAATAGTACTTTTAGCATTCATATCTCAGCAACTCCTAATAGGTTTTTGTGATTCAGTCTAGACTTCCTATCATCTTATTTTAGGGGGAATTTAGGTGCAGAGAATTCTTTCTTTTTGTTGAGTCAAAGTTAAGTTTCAAATGTTGACAAAGTAGCTATTCACTTTTCAAACGAGTTAACCAAGTTAAATTGTATTAAAAAGTAGAGTAAAAGACGAGAAAATCAAGAATACTGCTGTTAAAACTTTATAAAAGTCTTTAAATTACTGTTGGTTCATACGATTTAACATAGTTAACCTAATTATTTCAATATTGTTAAAGGAATAACATGATTTTCTTTAAATTGATAAAATGCCTGAAAAATGAAAGAATTTTTTACTAGAAATTCTATAGCTCATTTTGCCTACTGCTGAAGCTAAAACTCAGTACTTGTTTTTATATATGCTTCTAAACCACTTTAAAATCAAATAAAGCTAAATCTAGTAATTTGCTTGTAAGACATGTTTCTAAGGAAATCATCAGAAATGTATAGAAATTGATGCACAAGGAGTTAATAATAACAAATAATAATTATTATAATAGCGAAGAATTAGAAAGCACCTATATAGATAACTACCTATATGGAGATTGGTGAAATAAATTTTGGGACATCCATCTGATGAAATACTATAGAGTTAAAATTTGTATTTTATAAAGTAAGTAAACCACATGGGAAAAAATAATTGAATATAAACTAGGAATAACTATGGTGTGATCCCAATTTTTCAAAAAAAAATACAATATATGTAAACGTGTATATTCACACATACAGTTGAAACATTAGAAGGATATTCTAATAGTGAAATGTTAACAGTGACATCTCTGGTTAGTGAAATTACTATTTATTTTTCTTTTTGCACTTTACTAAGTCATCTAAATTTTCTGCCTAAAAACTTAAATTTAAGCTTGGAAAATATTTTTTGGTAAAGACAAAGAGGTTATTTTATAATACTATGGGTTTTCACAGATAACTTTAAGTTTATAATTGTTCTTGAAATTACTTCTGAATAGACCTTAATCCAATTTCTTCTTTTTTTTGATTGTCAAAGTTTTCTTGTGGATTATAACTATAATTCTGTTGTAAACACTTTGATAGCTTACCAGTAATTATCATTTTGTTGTTATAATGAGTGAGAATAATATTAACTGAGGGATACCGAGCCATTAATATGTAATAAATGAAAATCTGTTCATCTTAATAGAAGCTTAAGACTTAAATATATAACGTCCATATAAATTATACAATTTTATTCAAAAGTGGGAAGATTGGAATCAACAATGCTGTGGACTTTCCAGATATGATCTCTTAATTTGTTGATCTTTTCTTTGTATTAAACTGATGAAATCAATGTTTTAATAAGATCTAAAACATATGCTGTGGATATTTAATTCCAGCGGTTCTTTGAAAACCTTAACCCCATGGGAAGTGCTTCTGAAAAAGAGTTTACAGATTATTTGTTCAACAAGTCGCTAGAAATTGAACCCCGAAACTGTAAACAGCCACCTCGATTTGTAAGTTCATTACAATTTTGGAAAAATAATTTTTTAAAACAATACTGTTCTCAATGTTTAACAACCTATTTCCATTAAAATTTGGATTTACTCAAATAGTTGTTTTTAAGTGTTTTGTGTTTAAGTACTATACTGTTTCTAAAACTATATATATTGTGGGGAAAATGTTAGTCTTTTGATAAAATCTGGTTTATCCTTTATCTTAGTACCACTTATCTGTTCACTTTTGACCCTTCTTAGTAAAGGGAGAAAGCTGTGAGAAAGTGGGACCCTAAAATGACAGGTAGCTGGATGGAATAGGAAACAAAAAGACCTGATAAGGAGTATGTAGATGTATCATGGTTCTTCTGGTTTGACCATGACTCCTGCCTTTAGAGCACCATGGTCTGTGGTTGCCACTGGAACCCACCTCTCTGGCTAAAATTTGCTGCTGCAGTTCCTATTTATTCCTGGGGTTTGCAGTGGCAACAGAAGTAGTAGAAGACCAATTCTATTAATAAAGTAGCTAAAAGTGAAGCAAGATGTGAAAGGAAGTAAAAACATATCAACTTTGGGCCAAGCAGTATGCTCATAGTTTCATATTATCTCCACAATAATTTTACTTTTACAAACATAAAAACTGATGGTTGAAGAAGTTAAATAATTTTTTCAAGGCTGCATAGCTAGATGTTGACACAGTTGAGATTTTAACTCATTACTGAATCTGAGTTCCATATTTTTTCATTAGGTTACTACTATGAGAATTTTTAAAAGGGGGTGAAGGTCTAGGTGGACAGGGGAACAATGATAGCAATTTTCTCCAAAGACTTTAAAGTGCCATTGTAGAGGTTGGTCATTTATTGTTAGGAAGAAAAGAGCAAGATTTTTTTTTTTTCTGAAGCTCCTAGCATAATATGTTGCATATATTTTGTCCACAGTAAATATTTGTGAAATTGATATTGATGAAATTGATATTGATGACTTGAAGAAGTTTAGGTTCAAGTTTTGAGAGCAAAAAGTTGTTCACACAGATTTTCAAGAATTTTATTTCTGCAGTGTGAAAAGAGGTTTGCTTATATTCAAGCCCATCTTAAAATTAAGCCAATCAAACCCCAAGTGCTCTATTAGAATGTTACAGGCTATTTTTGCAGATTGAGACTCTCTCTTAACTGTATGCTAAGAATTAACAAAGTAGCACTAAATCATTAAAAAAAAAAAAGTACATGCAAGTTAGTAATGGCAATTGTGTTTGCTTTTCCTAGCCTAGGAAATCAACTTTCTCTTTAAAATCTCCTGGAATAAGGCCTAATGCAGGCCGACATGGCTCTACCTCAGGCACTTTACGATGTCATCCAACACCATTAGAAAGAGAGCCATGTAAAATAAGCTTTAGTCGGATTGCTGAAACTGAGATTGAATCAACAGCATCAGCACCAACCTCTCCAAATACACCATCTACTCCACCAGTATCTGCTTCTTCAGATCTTAGTGTGTTTTTAGATGTGGATCTCAGCAGTTCCTGTGGTATGTATTTGATGTGAACCATTTGGTAAAGGAATCTTGTGTTTAAGATAATTTTCATCATTTTAATTAGGGAACTTTAGAATCCTTTTCAAACTATATTAGCGTGGAAAGTGACAGTGCAATGTGAAATAGTGATTAACGGGTGTAAAGCATCATTCGTGTATTGCTTATGCATATTATTTTCTAATTTATTCATTTAACAAAAATGTATTTAGTACCTTTGGGCACTACTACTACTATAACAAGAGCAATAGACAATAAATAAGAAAACAAGCAGGTATGTTCTGTGAAGGAAATTTAAAAAGAGACTGTGATAGAGAATAAACTACTTATGCTAAGAAAGGAAAAACATTCCAGGTACAAAGGGTACTGGATTCATTTCTTTAAAAACTATGTGGCAAAAGACATGATGATAAAATTCTGTACTCTGTGTGTGTGTGTGTGTGTGTGTGTTGTTACATATGTTACTTTATGCAAACATTTTAAAAATAAAAATCATACATACTATCTTTTCAAATTAATTTTTTTCACTCCAATAGGCAGCAATAGCATCTTTGCTCCAGTTCTCTTGCCACATTCAAGTAAGTAAGAATTTGAGTTGATTCTAATGAAATGACTATAAAGATAATAATTAAGTTGATTAAATTTGTATATGATATTTTGAGTTTTAGCAACATTTTAAAAGTTTAATAAATGAATGAAATTCTTACAATACATTGAATTATTTGCCTACAGCTGGGTACTATTTAAACGTTACTATAGTTTGTTTTCATCATTTTACAACCTATGTTCTAGGGGCTTTGTGACCATTGAACAAATTACTTAGCATCTTCCAAGCTTGTTAAGGATCCAGTGAGATAACTGTGTAGAGCACCTAGCACATTACTTGGCACAGAATGATGAGTGAGTTCACATGAGTTGCCTCTTTTCTCCCCACCCCTTTCAATTCATTTCCCATAAGAGTAACCACCAAATGTTTATCAGGCTCTCAGGCTAGCCCTTGATCACTTATTTCTTCACATGATCTTACTAAATCAGTATTTTAAGTAAAATACTGTTCTGCCATTCATAATTATTTCATAATTTATGACATAAGTGCTGTCACCTTTCTCTACGATCATTTGTTTAAAATAAAATAAAAAGGGCACAGCTGCTTCAAGAATAACTCTCCCAATCTGGAGGACTTCTGCGTCTATCATAGTAAAATGTATATATCATTTGGATAGTAGCACGAGAGTCCCTGTCTTATGAGAAAAGTAAGTTTATTATTTAAAATTTTTAATTTCAAAACTTTATTTTAATTTTTAAATTTTTATCAAAGTAATACATGCATAGAGTTTAAAAGCGAATAGTGCTAAAACACTTAAAATGAAATTAACAGCAGTTTCCTATCACATGTCTCCCCACCCCTTTTGTTCTTCAGTTTCTCTTCTGAATCATTAATTTTAGATAGTGTTTATTGATTTCCTGTTATGGTTGATGATTTAACACTTTACTCTGCCTAATATACTTACCACATTTAGGGAAAATATTTCACTGATAAGTCAAGTAGTGTATACTATGATTATGCTTCCTTTCTTGTACAGCTCTATTTCCTGAAGTTAATAATAGCCTCATTAATGCTTGGGTTTTTTGTTTGTTTTTTTTAAACATCTATTGCTCAGTCTTCCCACACCCTTGTATAGCACGATTTTCCATTAGGTCAGACCACTCAGGGAAACTAGCACTATTCTTTTTGCTTTTTAACTTGGAAGCTTCCTTCCTGGTGCCCTTTTGTCCTCTTGCTCCAGTTTGAACTGGTTGCTCTCTAGGCCTCTGACCCAGCTGGCATGCCAGAACTTTATTTTGTTATCATCCTAAATTTTCCCTTCACTTCTCTCCTGTATTGGATCCTTGGTTTTTGGATTCCTTGTCTTCTTCCTTTTTTTTTAATTATTTTTTTATTATGAAATACACATTTTTTAGAATTAGTTTCAGCTGTACAACACAGTGCAATAGTTATACTTTTTACCCCTCGAAGTGACAACTCCCCTCCCCCAATCCGCTGCCCTGTCTTCTTTCTTGATATGCTCCCTTATTTTGGTAGGGGCACATCTTCCAGTATCTGATTGAGAAATGATGCACAGGATATAAAGTTTTTAAATTCTTGCATTTCTGAAAGTGTATGTATACATTTTATTAATAGTTTGGCTGGGTATAGAATTTTAAGTCATTTTACTAAGAATCTTGAAGGTGTTTTCTCATTATCTCCTAGCTTTTATACTTGCTGTTCAGAAGGCCAATATCATTCACTTGTAAATTATTCATACGTAATTTTTAAATACCCTGGTAAGTGCAAGCACCATTTTAGGCACAAGATTTATGGCCCTGAACAAAATAGACCAAAAAAATCCTTCTGTCAATAACTCTACATTCTCAATCCTTTTTTTTTAACTAGAGTATACTTGCAAAGGAACCCAAAAATACAGTGCTTTAAATAAAATAGAAATTTATCTCTCACACTAGCCAGAACAAGTAGACAACTATGCTCCACAGCTAGCAGGGCACTTCAGGATTCTCAAAATGTAGCTTCCATCTCTGAGTCTTGAGCAACTGCTTCAGTTGTTACCATTTTTCTTCCAGCAGGAACATGGAAGGCAAGGAGCTTTGTTTTAAAAACATTATCTGGAAGTTGCACACATCACTCCTGTTCTCATTTCATTGGCCAAAACTTAGTCACCTGGACACACCTACAAACTGAGTGTCTTAAAAGAGCACAGTTCTGGAGGCTAGAAGTTCCAAAACCAAGGTGTTGGCAGGGTAATGCTCCCTCTGAAACTAGTAGGGGAGAATTTTTCCTGGCCTCTCCTAGTTTCTGGCATTTGCTAGCAATCCTTGGTATCCTTTGGTTTGTAGATGTGTCACTTCAGTCTGTGCCTCTGTTGTCACATGACCATCTTTCCCCCATGTGTCTCTTTGTCACTTCTCTTATAAAAGACACCAGTCATGCTGGATTAGGGCCCACTTTCATCCTAACTTGGTTATATATGTAAATACTCTTATTTTCAAAGAAGGTCACATTTATAGGTACCAGAGGTTAAAGCTTCACATTTTTGGGGGGCGGAGTGGGGAAATGACACACAATTCAACCCATAACATTATATTTTAAAACCAGGAGTTCTAGGTATTATTTTAGATGATAGTAAAATACATTTCCCATATGATAAAATTGTTTTAAAATTTAATAGAGAATATTGAGAATGACTGCATAAAATTTTGAATATCCTAAAATAAATCATGAAAGAAATAAAATATTTATAGTTAAGTATGAAAAATGCTCACATACAATGAGAAAACCAGTGAGACTTCATTAGCAGTGGACATGAGTAAATAGTTCACATCCAAGTATGAGCAAGCCTATGTTAAAAGGTTTTTTCATACATTACTTATTCCTTGTAAATTCGTACATTAGTTTAACCCTTTTGGAAAGAAATCTGAAAACAACATTTCAAACCATAAAAATGTTCACACCTTTGGTCTTATTCAATGGAAAATTGAGTTCTTACTTTGTACCAATAGCCTGCTAAGTACTTGGGATTCAGTAGCAAATAAGAAAGACAAAGTCTGCCTTCATTTATACAAAATATCAAAAAACTTTGGGGAAGAATTCATATACGTGGAGATCACATTATTCATCCACTCTTTTGTTTTTTCTGCTTTACTTTTAGCTCTTTAGCCTCTCTTACTGGTTTCTCTTCATTTTCCTAACCTACTAACATTGGAGGATCCTAAGACTCAGTTCCTGGACCTCTTCTTTTCTCACTCACTTGATATTCTCTCATTCAGTCTTATATCATCTATATAATGATAATCCCCCCCAATTTTTTCCTCTACCCAGAACCTCTCTCTTGACCTTTAGACTCATATATTAGGTGACCTATTTGGCATCTTCATTTGGCTATCTAATAAGAATCTCAAACGTAAACTCTCCAAAGTTGAGCTTGTTTTCATCCCTTCCAAAGTTGTTCTTCCCACTGCCTCATCATCTCAGTTCTAATTGCATCTGTCTAAGTTGCTTAGGTCAAAAATATTAGAATTATCTTCTACATCTTTTTCTTGTACCCTAAATGTGATCCATCCACAAATCTTTACCCTCAAAGTATATTCAGAACCTAACCATTTCTCACCATCTCTACTGCTGCCACCCTGGTCTAAGCCACCATAAGCTCTTACCTGGTTTAGCATCCTAACTTCCCACCCTCCATACTTTAGTCTGTTTTCAGTACAGCAGTCAGGTCCTTTTAGAATGTAGGTTAGACTTGTCTCACCTATGCTTAAAGCCCTCCAGTGGCTTTCCATCTCAGAGTAAAAGTCAAACTCCTTTCAAAGGGCTCAAAAGACCCCATGCAGTTTGGCGTCCTTTGATCTGTCAGAGTTCATAATCTATTCCCTCCCATCACTCACTCTGCTCCAGTTACTCTTGTCTGCCTCCTGAACACAACAGACACATTCCCACATTAGGATTTTTGCTTAAAATAGTCTTCATTCACATGCTCACTTGCCACCTTCGGGCTTTTTACTCAGTGTTACCTGAGTCAGTCAGGCTGTCTCTAATCACCCTGTTTAAAATTGCTCCCCACCTACCTCTTCTTCTTCCCCATTCCTTATCTAGTATTTCTTCTTCTAATTTATAGCCATTATACTTTGACTTACTTATCATGTCTGTTCTCTCTCCCCAACTTATAATGTAAGCTCCATAAGGACATGAAATTTGCTTATTGTTGTGCACTACCATAGAACAATGCCTGCTTAGAACAATGCCTGGAACTATAGAAGATGCCCATTGGATGGATGGTTGGTTGATTGGTTGAATGGGTGAGTGGGTGGGTGGATGGATGGATGGATGGATGGATGGATGGATGGATGGATGGATGGCAGGCAAAAAATTGGAAATAACTTACATAGCTAACCAACACTATAGAAATCATTTAGTAAATTATTCTAAATTCACTAATTTGGAATACTAAGTTATTTAAAATGCTTACAAAAAGTGTATTCTTGTAGGGAAATACTCGACAGAAAATAAAATTATATTCAAACTTCAGCAAGGGTTATTGAGTGCCTGCTATGGAGAAGTATAACATAGTGGTTAAGTGGTGGTCTAACTATAGTCAGACCCAGATCAAAAATTTTCACAGCTGGCCCACCATCATTCAGATATTTTCTGCTTCCATGAGTGTGTATGTTCTTGTAAGGAAGAGAAGACCTAAGACCAAGTTTCTTTTTGACTCTTCATTGTTTTGTGCAAGTTATCAGCTTTATTGAAGGCTGTGTTCCCTCAAGGTCATAAGAGCATTAGCAGGAGCAATAAAGGTTATGTGCTTCTTTGTTTGCTCAAGTAAGGAGGAAAGAGGTTCAGAGACAGACTGAGTGCTTTTCCAGAAGAGCAAGGAACTTCCTTTTCAGTAGCCCCTAGCAAATCTCCTTTCAGATTTCACTAGTCTGAATTAAGTCATGTGCCTACAGCTAAACCAATACTCTGGCTAAAAGAATGGGATTACTCTGATTGATTTGATCTAATCAGGTCCCATCTCGAGCTAAGGGGTAGGTCAGCTTTCACTGAAGCACATGGCTGCATGCATGAAAGAAAGGTAGATAAAAATCTGATCATGTTAAGAAAGTGAGTCCCATGTCCACTTTTTTACTAGAATTAGGGTGACTAAACCACATGGGATGGGTTCAGCACTACCAAGAGGAGTTCTGCTCCCAGCACACAGGGCAAAGGACACTGGGCAGGCAAGAGGAACATATCCACAGTGGAAGGCTCCCACACCATCTGCCAACCTATAGGCATTCTCTGTTTCTACTATTGGTACCCTGAGCCAACAAGACCCCCTGAGGTGACTGCAGTCACATGATCAGGATAGCAGTTTTTGACATGGAGTAATGAGTTTGACATCTTTACTTGGATATCCCATAAGCAGTTCACATTCAGTGTGTTTAAAATTAAATTCATCAACTTCTTTCCCAACTAGCTCCTGTGAACCCAGTCTCAGTATAATGATAAATAAGACATGGTCACTGCCTTTATAATTGTGTGTGGAGAGAGATATCAAATAGGGAGTTGGTTCATAATTACAGGTATTTTTTAATCATATGAAAGACTAAATCAATGAAAATAGTTATTATTCTGTTTGGCATGCTTACTGGCAATTTTTCCCCTAATATTTTATTTTGTAAATTTCCTTTAATGTGTTTATATGAGGTGTCCATTATCAATGAGAGATTTGCAAAGAGAAAGAGTTATGTGATACAACCCTACCTTATGGTCTCTTATATGAGGCTTTATTACATGTGTAGAAATGTATCCAATTCTAGCAGCTTCAAAAATGCATGGTATCTGTTTATGGGTGACCTTTTCTTTGCAAGTTAATACAGTTTATACAAATATGTTTGTTTTGTCTGTTTTAGATTTCTAAAAAGGCTTTTCAGGAACAGAATGTCATTATTAACCTTAATTAAATAGTATGTCTTTATTTAGCTAGAGTACCTACTGTGTGCCAGGCACTACCACTGTGCTAAGTGCTAGGGATACAAAAATAAATACACACTGCCCTTAAAAAGCTTACAGTTTAATGGAGAGGATAGATGAACCAGCAGTCAGCTACAATACAGTCTGACAGATACCATAGCAGAGGTGATCACAAATTGAAATTTAAGTTTGCCTAATGATTGCACTATGAATTGTAGTTAAACTAATTTTTTTTTACCCCCAGAGTCTTTCTTCAGTTCGTGTGGTAGTTTACATAAACTAAGTGAAGAGCCATTGATTCCTCCACCTCTTCCTCCTCGAAAAAAGTTTGATCATGATGCTTCAAATTCCAAGGTAGTCAACAGGACTTAGGTTTGCATCAGCTTATTCAAAGTTGTAAATCTTTAATAAAATAGTTCTTGTTCTTATAAACATTTTAAACATTTGGGTTGGTGTATTTGAAAAATACTTTAAACACTTGTTTAATCCTCATAATACTTTTTCTAAAAAAGAGGGTGGGCAGATTCACAGATACTCAGAAGTACATTTTCTTTGTAACAGAGATGGAAAGGACTTCAGTATTCAAAGAATTCTTCAAACTTGCAGCTGCTGCCTTTCAAATAGGCTGCATCAGAATCACCTGGAAGCATTGTTAAAACCAGACTGCCAGAGTTTCTGATTCAGTAGGTCTGGAGCAGGGCCCAAGAATATGCATTTCTAACAAGTTCCCAACTGGTGCTGATGCTGCTGGTGCCTGGATCACACTTTGCAAACCATGACTCTAAGGGTCACTGGGGAAAGTGGAAGTAGATGGCCAGAAAGCAGTAGCTGGATTTTAAGTCCTCTTCATATCGTGTCCTTTCATGTCTACAGAACGATATTTTCTTTTCATTTACTTGCCTGTTATTATTAAAACACCTAAATTTATTAAATGTATATACAAAGCAAGATAACCTAAGATATTATGTTCTAAGATTTTCAATTAAAACATCTCATATGAAAATATTAAACTGGGGGCCGGCCGAGTGGCTCAGTTGGTTAAGAGTTGGCTTAAGAGCACAAGCTCTGAGCAACAGGGTCACTGGTTCGATTCCCACATGGGCCAGTGACACTGTGCCCAAGCTGAGCTGTCACTGAGCTGCCAACAGGTGGCAGGATGGCTCAGCTGGTGTAACAACAAGCAAGATTGCCTGTTCGATGGTGGGCTATGCCCACCCGCAACTAAGACTGAACTTTGACTGAACCTTGAGCTGAGCTGCTGCCCTGATGGCTCAGTGGATAGAGCATCCGCTCTTAACAACAAGGCTGCTGGTTCGACTCCTGCATAGGATCGTGGCTACGCCCATCCACAACTAAGATTGAAAACAGCACCTTGAGCTTAGAGATCACAAGCTGTTAAACGGGGAGTAATTTGTTCGTAAATGTGATCATTAAATCAGATTAACGTATTTTGAGCCTCTGAATTAACTTGACACACAGGAATTTTTCAGGTTTTTTGTTTTTGTTTTTTTGTTTTGTTAAGGTTTTATTGGGGAATTGGGGGAGGGGAACAGTGTTGGGGAATCGGGGAAGGGGAACAGACAAGTTGCTGTCCTTTTGTTCTTCAGTCTAGTTGTGGAGGATGTTGCTTCACTGGCCCATGTTGGTATTGCACTCTTCCCGGGTGAGGCAGTTGGTCGCCGGCCATTGGATGGCAGCTCATGGCAGCCCACTGCAGCAGGGGCTGCAGCCTACACCGTTGCCAGCGACTCACGGCAGCTCAGCTCCAGGTCGAGCTGTTGTTGACCATCTTAGCTGTAGAGGGCGCAGCGTCACTGGCCCATGGGGGATCCGAACCGGTGGCCCTGCTGCTCAGAGCTTGCGCTCCCAAGCCAACTCTTAACGAGCCACATGGCCAGCCCCCGAATTTTTCAGTCTTTTAAAAATACTTTCTTACAGATTTTTCAGGAGAACAGAGGTGTAATTTAATTACTTTTTTTTTTTTTAAGGGAAATATGAAGTCTGATGATGACCCTCCTGCTATTCCACCAAGACAACCTCCTCCTCCAAAGGTAAAACCCAGAGTTCCTGCTCCCACTGGTGCATTTGACGGGCCTCTGCACAGTCCACCTCCACCACCGCCAAGAGATCCTCTTCCTGACACCCCTCCGCCGGTTCCCTTTCGGCCTCCAGAACACTTTATAAACTGTCCATTTAATCTCCAGCCACCTCCACTGGGACACCTTCACAGAGATCCAGACTGGTTCAGAGATGTTAGTACATGTCCAAATTCGCCAAACACTCCTCCTAGCACACCCTCTCCAAGGGTGCCACGTCGATGCCATGTGCTCAGTTCTAGCCACAATAATCTTGCTCATTCTCAAGCTCCCCCTGTTCCGCCAAGACAGAATTCAAGCCCTCACCTACCAAAACTGCCACCAAAGACTTACAAACGAGAGCTTTCACACCCCCCATTGTATAGACTGCCTTTGCTAGAAAATGCAGAAACTCCTCAATGACCTTAGTCATATGTAGTCATTGACACTGGAATGGTATTTGTAAAGGTTTTTGTTTTTTTTTAATTTATTAAAAAGAAAGGCATAGTATTTTAGTACTTTTTACAAATAATGCTCTTAAAATGCTACTGATCAAATAAGCTTATAAAAATTGGAAAATTAAAAATACAAAATTCCTTTACCATTATCCTCAGGTGATCAGTAGCATTGCCTTGTCTTGGATCCTCAGTGCTGCCAAAAGGCCAGTATAAAGAATTTATATTTGCACTGTAGACTCTGCTAAAATATGATTTAAAGTGACATTGGTTGCACTGAAAGGGGATAGTGCATTTATGGAATTTTTCAAATTTGAGTAATAGCTGCCTTTTTAAGGCAATGAATTTACACAAATACAGGGGGTGTATGGTGTTATTTTTAAACCTCTTTGGCCATCTTCTAGTTTTTACTTCTAGTTTTTACATTTAGGAGAATTGTGAATAACACCCAATGTTCTTAAACTCTTTAATGCCATGTCTTAAATGCCAGAATTTGCTGCTCAAGACAAAAATGGAAAATAGAATGAAAAGAATAGAATGCACTGTGTTTATTATTTTGTCAAAATGTAAACAAAGACTACCTAACCCAGTCATAGAGGAGAAAAGGGCATGTATCGTATTCAGATGTGCCTTTTGTTTTTGCAGACTATGGTATCTGTAGCTAATGAGTTGCCTGTTGTTTTGGAAAAAAAAGTTAATATGCCATGTATGTACAGTTTTGTTTATATTGTATATTTAAAAGATAATGCTAATAACCTATATAAATTTAAGTGACTTGAGGCCTATACTACAGTCTGCTACTTTACTAATTCATAAATTCAGAGGAAAAGTTTCTTATGGCATAGGAACCAACTCAACTGCCTTGCCATCAAAACCTAGTAACTTTCTCTATAAATCTTGTATTAACTAAAATTTTTTAAAAATATTTTTTTAGATTGGTAATATTTAAAATAGCAAATACTTAAAGCTTTATTAAACTTTTTAATCAGAGAAGTGAGTAAAACTTTTATTTGCCATTTGGATTTCTTCGTTTAAAGGGATGAAAAAGCGTGTTTTGCTAATAGTGCCGGTAGCAACAGTTGTAAAGTAGCCAAAAGCCACGTTATTTACTGGTCTGAGGCCTTTTACTGTGCTTTGTATCAGAGTTCTTAACAAGATTAATAAATCACCCCAGTCTTAATTTTTAAAGGACTTTCAAAATATGTGTTTTCAGTATAAGGAACAAATGGGGAGGTTGTTGAGTTCTGTAGAAATATTTATACACACATTATTTTAAGTACTTTTATACAACTTCAATTACATAATCCCAGAGCATTTAAAGTGATGTAAATTTTAGAGGGATAACTGTGTCTTCACTGCTAAACATAATCAGCAAGCTTCTAGCAACCATTTTTATGCATTGAAATGAAAAATTAGGAGCATGCTAGGAAACTCTTGAAAAGCAGGATTACAACCGTTCTTGGTAAGATCTTGGAAACTGCCTGGATTCAAGGCCAATAACTACTGTGTGAATCAGTCTCCAACGAGGTAAAAACATTCTGAGGTTGGTTTTGTTTTTTTAAAGAGTAGATTATAATACTAGCGTTGTCTGGAAAAGTGATTTAAACTGCCTGTTCGTTAAACCGGACTTGAGTTTCGGGGAGAGTGACGCGTGTAGGGGAAGCAGGTGGCCCAGCACTCGGCCACGCCCAGGTAATGCTGCCTTCCGGGCTTTGTGCCTTCGCGCACGCGTCGAGGCGCCAACTCGGCCACTAGGAGGCGCTCGGCCACTCGCAAGGTGTGGCCGCGGGGATGGTGCGCCTAAATATGACGTCACTTTGCGCGGCGCGCAAATCCTGTTGCCGGGCAGCAATGGCAGCTCCTCTGGAGTCCTCGGTGGAGGACCCATTGCGGAACTTTGTGCGAGTTTTGGAGAAGAGAGATGGCACGGTGTTACGACTGCAGCAGTATGGCACTGGCGGCGTGGGTTGCGTAGTTTGGGATGCTGCCATTGTCCTTTCTAAATATCTGGAAACGCCAGGGTTTTCCGGTGATGGGGCCCATGTGCTGAGCCAGCGGTCGGTGCTGGAGCTGGGCTCCGGCACCGGGGCTGTGGGACTAATGGCTGCTACCCTCGGGTAAGAGCTGGTGGGAGGGGACGCCGATTTGTTTGCGAAACCCTCATTACTGGCTTCCCACCTTTGTGCCTGCGCCTCAATCGACATTATTTTATAGGGCAGATGTTGTAGTCACCGATCTTGATGAATTGCAAGACTTGCTGAAGATGAATATTAATATGAACAAGCATCTTGTCACTGGTTCTGTTCAAGCCAAGGTACTGAAATGGTTTGTATGGCCTTTCAGCTTGTTTTAAGATAACGATTTGTAGTTGGCTTTAAATTGTATTTTACTAAAAGCTCGGTTAATGCGAAGGAGACCTTCCGGGTCTTGTTTTTAAAACAAGAATACTTTAAATTATTAAAGTCACAGTTACAGTGTTTGGTTGACATTTTTAAGGGGGGAAGAAATAGAAGACTTTCCTTCTCCGCCAGACTACATACTGATGGCCGACTGCATATACTACGAAGAGGTAAGTAGTCAATGAGTGAAGTCTCTTCCTTTAGAAGATATGCCGTATTTTCTGGATTCTAGAGCACACATTTCTTCACATTTAAGGTATCTGAACGCAGGCTATTTGTCCTATAGTTGATGAGACGGTAAAGAGAAAGTAAAGGTCTCTGGGAACTATGCATATACACTCATGATTAACATATAGGCCTGTGAATCATGTTGAGAAAAGTGCTATGTGCATTTTACTAGGGGCTTCTGTAACATTTTTAAAGGATTTTGCCATTTAGATCTGTTATGAAAAGCTAAGAATTAAGTTGCATTGTAATTAATTCATGTTTTGTGGCAAGATTTATTAGACTCATAGAATGATTTTTTTTTAAATTATCAGTTTGTATAGCATTGTGGGCATCACTAATTTTTAAAATAATGAACATTGAGCTAACTTATGTTAAGGTTAGGTCATACTTGCTTTTGTTGGTAAATTGTTAGTTGTTTAAATCGCAAGTTAAATTAAATTCTTAAGAGTGAAGTCAGTTCCATGGAAACTCCAAAATACAGTCACTTGAATCTTTTCTTTGGAAACTGAGGGCAGTACAATGGTTGATTACTTAGGAGTTTACTAGTCATTAATTACCTTAACTACATGTACTTTGTTGGATTGATTCACAGATGGATAAATTATAGGGGAATTATAATTACCCCTTACACTTCCCCTACCTCTTTTTGTAGTAAAAATATAAATTTTTTAAAACCATAAACAAAAGTTATATTCCTTTTTGCACAGTCTTTGGAGCCGTTGTTGAAAACCCTAAGAGATCTCTGTGGATCTGAGACTTGTATTATATGTTGTTATGAACAACGTACAATGGGAAAAAATCCAGAAATCGAGAAAAAATATTTTGAGGTGGGTACTGTACTAGATCTATCTTTGTAGTGATTACCCTTCAGGGAGGCTGTATGGGACTGTGTGTTCAATATATTATGGTAATTTTGAGTGGTAATTTCACTCAAAATATTATGGTAATTTCATACAGTGCTGCTTGTATGAAACCAAGGAGTATTTTTTACAGCCCACCATTCTAAGCTCCCTCCCTTTTTTCATCTTTTCTGATCCTTTATTTCTTTTTCTCTTCAAATTAGTTGACCTAGTATCTACAAAACAATGTGAAATAATGGTGATGCCCTTGTCTTTTCTGAGAAAGTTTGCAGTGTTTCTTTATTAAACATGCTGGCTTTTGGGAACATATTAATGATGTATATAATACTTTTGGAGAATACATAATAGAAACATGGTATGTAATGTATTTTTACAAATTCTGTGTTTTCCTCTACATTTTTGTGAAAGCTTCAATCAAGATACCCTATCTATTTTCGGGGTTTTGTTTTGTTTTTTAAAATAAAAACTATAGAAATATGCAAAAGTAATATATAGAGTCTTATATGTCTTTTACCCATCTTCCCCCTGTGGTCACCCAAACACTTTTAATAGGCAAAAATCAGTCAAATTACAAATGACTTTTCTTGAGGGTACATATATATAGCCCTTGTGGTTTTATCCACTGAAAGGACTACTTTGGTTAAATAAGAAAGCAAATATATGACTCTGCTTCAGATATGTGCTATGTTTTTTTCATGTTTTTCTTGAATATGAAGAATGTTAATGAACTTTATAAATTAAAATTCCTATTGTTAAAGTTTCAATTTTATTAAAACATGTAAAAATGCACATATATCCAGTGCTCAGCTCAATTTTTCCTGTGTATAAACCCAAGTAACCACTACCCAACATAAGGAAATGGAACATTTTCACAACCTCAGAAGGCTCCCATGTGCCCCTTCCTAGTTGGTACTCCTCCAAACGTCACTGCCATTCTGACTTCTCTCACCACAGGTCACTTCATATTATTGAATTTGAAGTATATCTCTTTTAAATTTATAGCTCCTTCAACTAGACTTTGACTTTGAAAAAATTCCTTTGGAAAAACATGATGAAGAATATCGAAGCGAAGATATTCATATTTTATACATCAGAAAGAAAAAAACGGTAAATACATTTCTGACTCTTTATCCTCTGAGGAGGTTTCATTAGCTGGACACCGTGTCTGAGCTTATGTGTAATGTAGACATCGATTTAGATATAGGGAAACAGCTATGATGATTCACTGGACTTGGGCACTAACTCTCAATGCTAAGATCACTTTATCTGGCCTCAGGTTCGTCCTCTAAAATAAGGCAAGCTTCTTTTGTAAAGGTCCTTTCTGGCTATAAATTATATAGATTTATAATTGGGCATTACCTCAGATAAGTAACTTAGCTATTTATAAGTTTCTGCTATATCTTAGAGATTTAAAATTGCCAGCTCTGACCTTAGAACTTTTTCCAATCATTCAGATTTTTTTAATAGTCAAAGTAAAATACAACAACCCTTCTTTCCTGATGGTCTGGTAGCTAGGATTTGGAGCTTTAACCACTGCAGCCCAGGTTTAATTCCTGGTCAGGGAAGTTAGTATGTTGAATCACTATGTTGTACACCAGAAACAATACAATATTGTATGTCAGCTATACTTTAATGAATAAAATTTAAAAAGTAAAATATAGCAAGGCAGATCTGTCCAATAATGAAAAATTCACTCAGTTAAATAGAATATATGTATATTCCCCTTTTGTTGCTTTCTTTACTTGTTGCGACAATTACATTTTATGCTAGTTGCCCCTGTGATGCCTGAGTGTGAGCCTGTAAAGAGGAAGAATTGTGTGATCTATTTTTTATTCCTATCACCTTTTGTATATGTGACTGGTATAAGGCAGGGACATGATCAGTTTTACGGATTAAAGATGTTAAATTTAATAACTCAGACTTTTTTCTGTTATCTTTGCTTTGATTGAATTTGTTCATGATGTTTTCTGATTATGTGAATTCTACCCAAAAGCAAATCACTTGTAATTTTGAGGCTCAAGACCAGGTGTTAGGACTATAAGGCAAGAGGAGTGGTGGGGTTAGTAATTCAGATCAATCAACTTTTACATGGCATAATACTGGAGATACAAAGATAAATAAAAAATGGTTTATATCTTAAGGGGTTCAGTTTTAGCTGAAGTTGTATAGTTTTAAAGTAGAATTTTTTGAGGCATAAAGATTTTGTTTCCTAAATATAAAGGCTTTTTTGGGGCAAAGAATCATTTTTTGCAAAAAAATTGATATAATTCACATACTATAAAATTCACCCTTTTAAAGTGTACAATTCAGTGGTTTTTAGTATATTCACAGAATTGTATAATCATCACCACTTTCTAATTTTAAATATTTTCATCCTCACCAAAAAGAAACCCCATACCTGTTAGTGGTCACTTCCTCTCCCTGCCTCCTCCTCAGCACCTGGCGACCACCTATCTACTCTGTATGCATTTCCCTATTCTGAGCAATTCAGATGCAGATATCCCTCACTTTCCAAAAGTTCACTTTATACCACCTCACTTTTACAAAAGATCTACATTAGTACCTGTTTTCACTAACTTTTGAAAGAAATCCCAAGAGGATTTTTGCTTTTACAAAAGATGCCATTACCATACTAATACAGGTTCTTTCTTAAAAGCAAAGTGGCATAACTGGAAGAAACGGATACTCTTCACTTTATGCCATTTCAGCTTATGGATGGTTTCATAGGAATGTGCAGGGGAAACTTGTAAATGGAATCACACACTATGTGGCTTTCTGTATCTGGCTTCTTTCATTCAGCACAGTATTCTGTGTTTAGCCATGTTGTAGCACACATCAGCGCTTAACTCCTTTTTATAGTTGAATAATATTCCTTTGTATGGATATACACCTTACCCATCCATTCATCAGTCAGTGGGCCTTTTGGTTTTTTTCACTTTTTGGCTCTAATGAATACTGTTGTTTTGAATATTCATGTAAAAATTTTTGTGTAACATGTTTTCAAATCTCTTGGGTACATTCCTAGACTAGAACTTGCTAGGTCATATGGGAATTCATGTTTAACTTTGAGGAATTGCCAAACTGTGTTCCAAAGCTACTATACCATTTTACATTTTTACCAGCAATTCTGAGGGTTCCAGTTCGTCCAAATCCTTATCAACACTTGTCATTGTCCATCTTTTTTATTATAGCCATCTTAGTAGGTAAGAAGTGATATTTCATTGTGGTTTTTATTTTCATTTCTTTAATAACTAATGATGTTGAGTATCTTTTTATGTACTTATTGGCCATTTTTATATTTTTACAGAAATACTTCGCCTATTTTTGTATTGGGTTGTCTTTTTATTCTTGAGTTGTAAGAATTCTTTGTATATTCTGGTTCCTAGACCCTTACCAGATACACAACTTCCAAATACTTTCTCCCATTCTGTAAGTTGTCTTTTCGTTTTCTTGATAGTGTGCCCTTTGAAGCACAAAGGTTTTTAATTTTGATGATGCTCAAAGTATCTGTTTTTTCTTTGGTTGCTCTTGCTTTAGGTATCAACAAGAATCATCTCGAAACATTATTATGCATGATTGTTCATTTGAATAGCATTTAGCCATTTCTAGGCATATTACCTAGTATTAACTACCCAGGAAATACTGAATTTGCAATAAGAAATCAATCTGTAAAGTTTCCTTTTTTTTTTCTTATAGAAATTTCCATCGTGAAATCTTTAGTCATCTTACCCAAGCCTCTAACAACTTGGGTAAACTAAAGATGTGAATGGAGCACGTGAATATATCATGGGAAGATTGTGTTCAAAGATTTTTTCAGCATGTCCTTACAGATCTGATACATAGATGACAACCATTATGGGCTGCCTGCAATACGAGAAATGACTGCCTGCCTGCCTGCCAGTGGGCCTGAAATCCACCTTAGTTTACTTTTAGCTCAACATCTCATTCTGCTTTAACAAAATGTTGTATTTGTCACTCTTCAAATAAAAATAGGTATTGAGGTTAGCCTAAAGTCTGCCAAAAATAATTCAAACCAGTAAACTTTAGTTTGTTCAAGAAAGGTAAATTTAAAAGGTTTTCATTTTAACATAATTATGCAGTGGTTTTTATCATGTAACTTCATTGGTTTTAAGATAGCTTTAATACTTACTGTTCTTTTATGTTTAAAAAAAAATGAAAATGTTTTGTTACATTGGCCAAAGATTTATTCTTTTCCTCCACCATACATCTCTATGTGAGTTAGATAGTAAATTATACTGTAGTGAGTTGGTAAGAATGCAAATTAAGAAATCAGGAGATTGGGAGTGGGGGAAAGCTATGTTGACAAAAATTTTCATTGGATAATGAAGTGAGACTTATAAGCCCATTTTCAGGCTCGTGCACTTATGTGGCTGATGCACTTTTCCTTGTTTCTATCTTCTAGGAAAATGTGGCTGACATCACTGGTGTTAACTTGTTTACATGAAACAAAGGTTTTTAAATAACTATAAATGTTCTTCCATATGCATTTAGCAAATGATTTTAATTCTGTGTAGTCTCTGTTTTATGTTATCATGATAATCATCTGCCCACAGACTGACCTGTCAAGAGCTTAAGTCTCACCAGTTCCAAAGAGTAATGGTAACTGATAGAATTCCGGTACTTATAAGCATTGGTGCTAGGTGGCACATTTTATGTGTTAAAATAAACATTGTTTTTGAGATCCTGTGACTTTGTGAATGTTTCAGAAATAGCTTTGAAGAAAATGAACATCTAAAGCAGTTAACTGCTTTCCAGAAGAGCAAAAGCAGCCCTATTTAGAGAAATTAAGGATCAAAGTCAAGAGTTAACAGTTCTTTCCTTCAGGCTTACTTGAATCTTTAAAGATTGTTTTGCTGTTCTTTTTCAAGTACTGCCCTTAGCATTTCATTCAGCAGATTACTAAGCAGTTAGCGTAACCTAAATATGTGATACTTTGTTAGTTACAGATAATACCAGCTTTTATTGGGACATATGATCACTTTCTAGGTTGTTCCATACGTTATGGAACTTGTAAAAATAAGTTTGCTGTTGACCATCTATCGTAGTTCACCCAGATTCCACAGATCCTTTTTCACCCTCCTCCCGTTTTCACTGTCCTAATATCTGCGGGTGTTCGGCCTGAAGTTGCCTTTGACATTCCTGTATGAAAGCCCAGCTCCTTTACCTCGGACAGGTGCACCTTACACTCCACACTTCCTGGAGGAGTCGGGCTGAGATCAGCTTCCGTGCAGCGTCACCAGAATCACACCCTTGCCTGTATGTGCTGCCTTCCCTTGTTCTGTTCCCACTGCCTTACTTGACTATAAGCATCTTGATACGTTACTTAGATACATTCTTCACTGTCTGTTTCTGGGCAACTGACCTAAGTTACTGACTGTAGAGTTAAGTAATTTCTAACAAAGTCAAGTGGGACTTTTTCTGATTCTGGAAAAGGCCAAAGTGGAGTTTAAAAGGTACCAAGTCCTCACATTCTAAGAGCAGAGAACCACAGTTAGGACCACCACAGGGCTTACCTAGGAGTGCTAGTTCATACAACATACCGTATCACTAACCACCCTGCCACAGACGATCGGGGAGGCCTGGGAGAGGTCTTTTGGAGGAGTACAGTGTAGAGGAGTGGGATTTAGTCCTGTGGGCTATGTCATGAGGGAGAAAACAGTGCATCTACATCCAGAAACCACAGGTGGGAGGCCTGAGGGGGTAATTCAAGATTCAGGGTGCCTCCAACAAGGGCAGACCAGCATTTTCCCCACCTGGTTGGATTTGTGTTTACCCAGATTAGCATATTTGTTTTCATCCAGCGCATAGGAATGGAATTGGAAAGGAAATGTGGGGAACTCTCAGGCAGAAGTATTGAAGATGGATCCTGCCAGACTGAGAGTCGATACATGAATTGGGGGCTAGAAAACTTCTGCAACAACATGAATAGGTTAAAAGGCAGGAGCAACAGGTGAGTTATGTGTGATGCCATTTACCTGTGGGTCAGCCAGAGTACAGACAACTCATCTCCAAGGACGGCCAGTGCTGAATGGAGCTGCTAAGGAATGAGCCTCAGGACCTCCACCTAGTGGGGTTGCATTGTGCACAATGAAACCATAGGCCACTTAGAATGCAGTTACAGCCAATTAAAGAGTCCTCACGATAAGGTAGTTTCTCAAACTTGGCTGTACATGGGATCACCTGGAAAATTAAACAAAAGCCATGTTCAGGCTTCATCCCAGTCCAGTTTTATCAGAGGCATGTTATTTTTGATAAAGGGCCCCAGATGGTTTTAATGTTTAGCCTAAATTGAGAGCTATTGCAATTAGGAAACCTACCATCTATTTTGCAAAGAGAAGAGAGCAAAGGGAGGGGAAATACAAAAAACTATCTGTGATTAGAGTGGGCCTATACAGCGTAGGGAGGGAAAGCTTTGAATCTGATGTGGAATCTTCTATGAAATAGGTTTTAAAATAAACAGGACTGAGCTTTATAAACTGACTAAATATCTGAAAATTTAATTAGAGAAACTGGCCAAGAAGGTAAGGGTGATGCTAGTCAAGAGAAAAGGGGAATTCAACAGCTGGGAAAAGAAAATTGTGGTAACCAATGATTTTAGTCTATATGCCAGTCATAACTTGAGAGATTTTTGAGGCTGCATAGCTTTGAATCTTAACCTGCAGGAACTCATAACCAAGGGTCCATAGACCACATGTTTGGTAAACTTGAGAGTAAAGTTAGGTTATTTCTAATTCTTTTAAGAAGTATTAATAATCTAGAATGATTGGTACTAGGATTTTTTTTACACAGCATATCTTTTTAATTTTTCTTACCTCTTTCCTTGAAAGTTGCCTTGTTAAATGATGCCAAATACAATATTAAACCCAGACTACAGATATTGTATTCATTTGAAGAATGAGGGTCATAGAAATATGACTGTTATTCTGAAGGTTCCCTGTAGATGGCATTGCTTGACTTTGTCTTTAAATAGTTTATAGAAAGGAAGTTGTTAAAATAGAATATTTTGAAATGGAATCATACTTGCATTTTAAAGGTGAGTTAGACTTTAAAGAATAAACCTACCTACCCATTATGAGTTGCTTTCAGGATATAACATAGTTTGTTTGGGTTGCTCTAATTACCATAGATTGGATGGCATATAAAACAATTTCTCACAATTCTGAAAGTTGGGAAGCCCAAGATCAAGGTACCCACTTCCTCATAGGCAGCTGCCCTCGCAATAACCTCATGACAGAAGGGCCAAGTGATCTTCCTGGGGTCCCTTTCATAGGGCACTAATCCCATTTATGAGAGCTTCATCCTCGTGATCTACTCAACTTCCAAATAAATGCCTCACCTCCAAATACCATCACATTGGAATAGGTTTCAACATACGAATTTGGGGGGAACACAAACATTCAGACCATAACAACAGTATAAGTGAAACTGGATTTTTTTCCTTATAAAATTATGTTTGATTTATCCTTTTTTCCATTGCATTCTGATACGCCTTTTAAATTTTTTAATGTCATTCATAAAGCTACGTAAATTTCAATTCATAAACCATTTCTCTGCATAGATATCTTCTATGAGAAACAGACATTTAAGAGGCTAAATTCAAGTTTTGAAAATTAAATTTATCTTGAAAGCACCTTTTATATAATGCATGATTTTACATCTGAGGTACTCGAAACTTCCAATTAATTTTAATTAGTTTTTCAAACCAGTTGACCTTCACTAGAGTAGTAAGTAGCTTTACATCAAACGTTTTTGGCTATACTGTAATCCTGTAAGCTTTAGCCAGCTATTTGACTTTCAGTTTTTCTTTTTCTTGAAAGAATATCAGGATTTGAAAGAGTTTTTGATTCATTGATAATAAACATTGTAAAAGTAGTGTATTCAGTTTTCATTACCTTCAAGCTAATACAAATACAGAAAAAAATGGTGGCAACAAGATTTTACTGAGAAGTAATGGAAAAGCAAAGTTTTCACTTTACATAATTTTGGGTAGGAAAGTAGTAAATTCTAAAATCATTTTCACCAGTTAGGTTAAAACTGTTAGGTATTTTGGGTCGTTGAAGACATTGTCTTAGGTCTTAAGTGTTGGTGGAGTTCTGTGAAAATCTAGTGAATCCATCAATTTTGAGATATATGTAATTATTAATAACAAGATAGTTTTCAAAATAATAGACTTAAAAATGTTAGAGCAAATTATAATAATGCTTTTTCCATGTGCATTCTGAAAACTGTGTGTGTCAGAACACAGGCCCTGAGACCAGATTATCTCAGTTTGAATCCCACTTCTGCCATTACTAGCTGTGTGACCTTGAAGAAGTTACCTAAACTGTGTGCCTCAATTTGCCCCTATATAAGGTGAGGATCATAATTTTATCTACCTCATAGTTTGCCGTGGGGATTAAAGCAGTTTAATACAACGCATTTAGGTACCTGGCACATAGTAAGTATCCAATAAATGTGATTATAGTAGGGGTGGAATTATTTTACATGTAGGGACTAGTATAATGTATTAATGCAAGTTGATTTTTATCTGTTGCAGTGCAAAATTTGGGCATCTTTTTGAGCGTGTAGGCCCCATGTAAACCACTCCCTCATCACAGTGGGAATGGCACCTGGGGTGGGAGGAGGTTGAGAACACTGTTCCCTAGTACTGTTACTTGAACAAGTGAACAATTTTGGAGAGAAGGAAGAGAACATGAAAGAAAAACCTTTACTGTTCATTTTTATGGTTCTAAAGCAAGTTCCATGAGCAATCAAAGGCCAGTGGAGGCAGAGGAAATCCTCACTTCTAAATACGGGAGCCTGGGTTTGATGGCTGGAGCTCCAGGGTTAAAATTCCACCACCCTGGACCCTGAGCCAGTTCTTCCTCATAGTTCATATCTCTGTTAAACTGAGACCAGCTAGGTAGCAGGTAATTAAAGTACAGCAGCAGGTCATTTTTCTGAAGTCTGGGAACTGATACATCTGCATAACTATTTTCAGACTTTAGATGTATTAACTCTAAAAGAGCAAGGTGACTCTAAAATACTTACGTAGCAGTTGCCTCCTGCATGAACGATCTTTTACCATGTAATAAGTATATGTGGTGGGATGCAGGAGCTTGGCTGAATTAATCCCACGGGCTACCTGACTGTACCAACAGACAAGAACGAGAGTCAGAACCTTGAGTTCTATCTGCTAATGTGAAGTGCACATGTGCTTTAACTGCATTATATTAAACTTTCAAGACCTTTTTTCAGTTGATGGGAGAGATCGTCATGAACACTAGTCTTAATTTTTAGAAACATGTATTACTTACCTATAACACATTAACTTATTTTGATGAATAAGTTCACACTTTATATTAACAAGTTTGAAAACAATGGTATTTCTTCCGTGCAAAACAACATGAAGGCTTTTGAAAAAGAGCTGGTTTTCCATCAAACTTAAAAGTTTTTTCACAACAAAGGAAACCATCAATAAAACAAAAAGGAAGCCTACTGAACGGGAGAAGGTAATTTGTCAATGATATATCTGATAAGGGGTTAATATCCAAAATTTATAAAACACTCGTGCAACTCTACACCAAAAAAACAAATGACCCAATTAAAAAATGGGCAGAGGATATGAAGAGGCATTTCTCTAAAGAGGACATACAGATGGCAAACAGGCATATGAAAAAATGTTCAACCTCACTAATCATT